ATTCCACATTCTACTGCCCTCGTGTCAGGGTTCAGACAGAGCTTTTGTTCCACGGGCAATATTGGGAGCGGGAGGATGATGAGCAGGGCCAGTTTCTCGATTCTAGGGTTCCTTACCCTTTCTCTAGAGCTGTGTCTGTAGATTCCTGAGTTGTTCTTTGGTGGTGGACTCAGCTGGGCTAAGGCAGCTCCTGTCCTGCCCTGAACTTAGACTCCATGCTCCCCTAGGCCATGGTGAGTTAAGGGGATTTTGAGCTTTGGAAATCTCTCCACTTCAGATTCCCAGGCCTGCTCAACCCTTGGCCGAGATTTGTTCCCTCGCAGTTCATGACATTTATGTGGCTCTCTAGAATGGCTTCTCATTGGTACAGCAAGCTATGGAAAACTTTCCCATAATCACTGCTGTTGAGGGCTTTTTTTCTAGTATAAATTCATTGATGCTCGGTAAGTTCTGATGTTTGACTTAATCATTTACAACATGCATGACATACAAAGGCTTCTGGTATGGGTTTTCAGAGGTTGGTTAAAATGGCCATATTCACAGATAATCTATGCATCTCTTTGGCACAAATTCCCTGAAGAAAAAAAGAAGATCTTAGAAAACAATTAAGTTTTTGTTTTTAAATTTTTCATTGTATTTATAGTTTTTCTCTACTGTGTAGTTTTAAATGTTAAGGATTCAAGTTGACTAAAAAGTTTCTCCTTGTTATGCTCAAATTGCAGAGTCCCCCAAAAACCAACAAGGAGACTGTATGTAAAAGCAAAGAGCCTTTATTTAAGCTTAAACTTGGACTCTCCATGTGTCCAATGCATTGGCATAATTGGAGAGCCTTGAGCTCAGTTAGGGTGGGGTTTTATCACAGCAGAGGTTGGGGTGAGGGATTTCTAAGGCTCAGGACCCCTGATTGGTTGACATTGTCTAAGGCTGTCTTGGTGAAAGGGGATGGGCATGAGCTGGGTAGGGGACATCAGGAAATCCTATCTATAATGGTTGGAGCCTTAGGAGTTTCCTTTGGAAGGTTAGATACTTTCCCCTCTGATGGTGCATTCCTGTGTGCTGCCTGGGTGGTCTCTGCTGAGCCTGTCATGGCTGGGTCCTCCACTCCTATTTATAGATTTTACATTGTTTCCCGTTAGTATGACTTCTCTGATATTAAAAATGGCAACGCTTCCCATGTACATTGCATTGAGTTTTCTTTATTCTACCAATTTCCTCTGGAGTCAGCACTCCCTTGATTTCAGTGAGCATCAGGCTTTACTTTAATCTGTTTATCTCCTTGAACACAGGACTTCCTGGTGTCTCTTTTCTCCCCAAACTGTTCATTTTGTATTTTTTCTTGTTCAGCTTGCTCTTTTTCATTCTAGATCTGCATATGACTAACCACCAATAACCACGTGACACATAGATAGGCTGTTCTGAAATCTCCTTTGCCAACGCTGTTAGTGCAAAACTCTTCAGTTTAACCTCAGGCAGATTTTTTTGGACAAGGGCAAAACAGTCACATTCTTTACCAAACTATCACAAGAACAGTCTCTGGGCCACTCACTAATATTCTTCTCCTCTGAAAACTCTTGAGCCTGGCCCCCATAGTTCAGAGTAGATGAATTTTCCTTCATAGTAAAGACTGAGGAAAATATAACAGACATAGAGGAAACAATAGCAGAGAGTTTACTTTATTATAACAATGCCTGGATCATTTTCCCACATACTCACCGGCATGAGCTGTCATCTGTTTAATTGATCTTGGCCATTCTGACTGGGGTAAGACGAAATCTCCAAGTAGTTTTAATTTGCATTTCTCTGATTGCGAAGGATGTTAAAAATTTTAAGTTGTTTCTTAGTATTACTTTCTACTGCCGTGATAAGACAGTATGACCACGGTAACATATATATATATACATATATGTATATATATACTAAAGTGGGTTTACGGTTTCGGGGGTTAGAGTGCATGATGGCAGAGTAAAGAGGTGGTGGTGAGAACAGCTGTGAGTTTCTGTTTGATCTACAAGTAGGAGGGAGGGAGAGAGAGAGAGAGAGAGAGAGAGAGAGAGAACTGAGAATCTCATGAATGATGAAATCTCAAAGCAATCCAATGACAAACCTCCTTCATCAAGGCCCCACCTCCTAATCCTTTCCAGTTTCAACAACTGGTGGCCAACTATTCAAATATAAGAGCCTATGTGGGCCATTCTTATCCAAACTATCACACTCAGGCATTTATGTTTCAATCTTTAGAGAACTGTTTAGTTCTATAACCCATTTTAAAATTTGCTTGATTTTTTTTTAAAAAAAATTATATATTCTCAATGCTAAATATCTGATGTATAATTGGTAAGGTTTTTCCAATTCTGCAGGCTACCTCTTTGTTCAGATGATTTTATCCTTTGCTGTACAGACTTGTTTTTAGCTTTATGAGGTCCCATTTATTAACCGTTAGTGACTGTGATTATCAGTATCCTGTTCAGAAATTCCTGCTGTGCCAGTTAGTTCAAGCCTATTCCCTCTTTCTCTCCTACCAGATTCAGGGTATTTGGTACTATGTTGAGGCTCTTGAGACATTTGTAGTTGCTTTTGTGCAGAGTACAGATGCAGATCTATTTAAATTCTTCTTTGACCAGCACTACTCTCTGAAGATGCTACCTTTTCCCCACTGTGTATTTTTGCTTCTTTGTAAAAAATCAAGCTTCTTTAAGTGTATGGAAATATCTGTATCTTCTATCCCATTCCACCAATCAACGTATCTGTCTTTATGCTAATATCCATGTGGTTTTTATTAGCATAGCTCTGTAGTAGAGCTTGAAATTAGGGATGGTGAGAGCATCAACAGTTCTTATTCAGTATTGTTTAATATAACCTGTTTTTTTTTTAAAGATTTATTTATTATGGATACAACATTCTGCCTCCATGTATGCCCGCACGCCAGAAGAGGGCGCCAAATCTCATTACAGAGGGTTGTGAGCCACCATATGGTTGCTGGGAATTGAACTCAGGACCTCTGGAAGAGCAGCCAGTGCTCTTAATCGTTGAGCCATCTCTCCAGCCCTATAACCTGGTTTTTGTGTTCCTAATATGCAGGTAAAGATTATTTTTGTAGTTTCTGTGAAGAATTGTGTTGGGATTTTGATGTGTATTGCATTGAATCTGTAGATTGCTTTTGGTAGGATGGCCATTCTCACACTCTTAATCCTACTGATTGATGAAACGTGGGATCTTTCTATTCTCTAGTATGTTTTCCAATTTGTTTCTTCAATGTGTTAAAGTATATTACAAGTCTTTCACTTGCTTGGTTAGAGTTATACCAGGATTTTTTTGAAGCTATTGTGAAAGGTATTATGTTTCTCATTTCTTTTTCTGTATCTTTGTCATTTTTAAATAGGATTTACAAAGGCTCTTGATTTTTGTGGTTAATTTTGTATCCTACTACTTTGCTGAAACTGTTTATTGCTTTAGAAGTTTCCTGGTGGAGTCTTTAATGTATAAAACCGTATCATCTGCAAATAAATACTTTGATTTATTCCTTTACTATCTGTATCCCCTTGATCTCTTTCAGTTGTCTTATTTCTCTAAGATTTCAAGTGTAATATTAAGTAGGTATGGAGAGAGCAGACGTCTTTGTCCTCTTCCTGCTTTCAGTGAAAATCTCTTGAATTTCTGTTGAGGATGATGCTGGCTTTGAGCTTGCTGTAAATTGATGTTATTATGTTGAAGTACATCCCTTGGATTCCCAGTCTCTTCAGGACTTTCAATCATGATGGGATGTTGAATTTTGTCAAGGTCGTTTCTGCATCTAATGAGATGATCATGTGATTTTGTATTTTAGTCTGTTTATATTGTGGGTAATGTTGATTTATGGAACCATACTTGCAAGGAGATGGAGCTAGGAAGGGGGGCCCAGGTGGGCAGACTGCAGGCAGGGAGAACGCTAAGTTCAGAGAGACTAGAATGGAGAAGAGGAAGGCTGATAAAGGGTAACCTCCCTGGTCCCGGGCAATTGTGGGTCCCTGGCAGAGTGTGATTCTGCAGTTCAGTGAGAGTCACATAGGAATGGCGATGGGCCTGTAGGAAAAGCTGAAAGGGGCAGCAGGGGGAACTATGGGGGTCCTGGACCCACACCAAAAGGCTGAGTCCCAAGTGGATGGATATAATCAGCATAATCTTAAGGCAGATCATCTCAGAATAAAGACAATTATATGATGAAAATATCTAATTACTTGACAACAGCAATCAAATTATACAGAAGCCCATAAACACCATGTTACATATATGACCACAGGGGAATAGACCCACATCTTGCCAATAAAACTTATGGTAAGGGTAGCTCCTGTGGCTCTGGGCACCAAATGATCCAGGTGAATCCTTAAAGGAATTAAATAAAGGTATTGTGGCTAATTTTAATGTCAACTTGATGCAGGCTAGTGTCATTGGGAAGAGGGAAACTCGACTGAGAAAATGCCTCCAGAGTGGTCTGTGGGACATATTCTTGATCAATGATTATTGGGCCCACCCCACAGGGAGTGGTGTCGCACCGGAGTGGGTGGTCCTGAAGAGCATGGGAAAGAAGGCCGAGCAAAGAAAGCGTGGGAAGGAAGCCAGTAAGCAGCGCTACTCCATGGCCTCTGCAACAGTTCCGGCCTTCAGGTTCCTTCTTTGAGTTCCTGATCTGATATCTCTTTGTGATAGAGTGTGATTGGTACACTAAGGCTGAAATAAACCCTTTCTTCTCCACATTGCTTTTGGTCATGTTTTATCACAACAAGAGAGTCTAAGACAGAAGAGAAAATGAGAAAACATGGACATAGGCTCCCACCTTGAGAATTTCTGTTTTGTTAAAAGTGAAAAATACATATGAAAAAATAACTCTGAAAGACTTGATAACCACACTAGTTACCTGACAAATTTGTACAGGTTTTTTTTTTTTTTTTACAGTTTGGCATAAGCATACCCACTTCTCTTCAACTGATGTTTAACTTAAAAAGAATAGCACAGAGAGTGCTGGAAGATGTTGGGTTGTAAGTCATCCCTGTGGTTTTCTCCAGTATCGGTAGCTCTCTCCACCCGTTTGTCTAGAGTGTATCAGCCAAGTCCTGCTTCATCAGACTCAGCCTTCCTGGCCTTCCAGTTACAGCTTTTATGCAATAAGTTTTATATTCTGAGTTGGTGACATTAGCTTCCTCAAGTTAGATGTAATTAAAACCATAACACTAAACCTTGGGTGTGTTCATGTACATGCATGGGCACATATCCATGTGTGCTGGTGGCCAGAGAGCAATGCCAAGTTCCTCCTCGGTCATTCTCCACCTTATTTTTTGAGATAGGCTTTCTCTTGCTGAACCTGGAGTTCACTGATTTGGGTAGGCTGGCTGACCAACAAACCCCAGGAACCATCCAACCTGTATTCCCAGCACTGGGGTGACACGGGTATACTGTCATACTTGGCATTTTACGTGTTTGAGTGCTGGGCCTGACGTCAGGTCCTCAGGCTTACTGTCTCAGTCATCGGTTGCCTGATACCCTAAACTGTTTTTACCATGTAAAGCCTACTGTAGCTATGGTTTCCAGAAAACTCTCTCCTTTCCTTTACTCACGCTAAGTGGGTGGTACTGTATCTGGCCTGAGGAATCAAGTACTGTTGGTAGAAACTCCGTTCCCTTACCCCATGATCTTCTCGCAGACATATGGCTTGCTGAGGGCTATCCTGACTTGATGCCTCCAGTAGTTGTGAAGGTCAAATAAACAATCGCAAATGTAACTGGTTTCTTGAATGATATGGAAATGTTTATGTTTGGCCTTTCTTTACATTTTAAAATAAACTTTAAAATATCATATGCAAGCTTCTGACGATACATATACAAACAGCATGTTTATCGACAGGCCAATAGAGCAGTCAAATTCAGTTTATAAGTATCAAGACATTGAAAATGAAATAAATAAAACTTCCAGGATTCATATTCGAATACAAATATGTCATTAGAATGAATATAAGGCATAAAAGGGGCAAACACTGAAATACGAAGGACCAGAGTTCCCCAAGGAACTAACTTAAAGCAGCCCCTTAAGAGTGATTTAAGCTGCACATTCAAGCCCATGGAACCATAAGATGGAGCCCGCTTAATGATATTCAAAAGGGAAGAAGGTGGTTTCTGCAAGAACGGAAGCAAAGCCAGAGCTATTGAAGCATCACTAAGATGGGCCAGAGAGCAGCATGGACACACCTGAGTCAGTGAACCAAGAGTGATGCGACGTACTTAAGCAATTCGTTCTGACTGACACACAGCCACTTCATTAAAACATGTATTTAAAATATGTAATAAGTCGTGTTTATGTAAATAAAGAATGAAAGCGCTTGATAGCACACATGAGCAAGTGGGAGGACATGGGTGGTGGGGTTGTCTAGTTACTTAATGTGTACTAGGCCCTTTGTAAGTGCTGTCATCTTATTATTTACGTAATATAGGCTTTTGAGATCACCACATATTTGCTAAATGAGAATGGGAAAAATCAGACTCAACTTTGAAAAGCCCATATTGGCCTTATTTCACTAGCCAGACCCTGCACTGGCTGGTTTTATGTCAACTTGACACAAGTTAGGGTCATCTGAAAGGAGGGAACCTCAACTGAGAAAATGCCTCCATAAGATCCAGCTGTAAGACAGTTTCTTAATTAGTGATTGATGGGGAAGGGCACAGCTCTCTGTGGGTGGTGCCATCCCTGGACAGGAGGTTCTGGGTTCTATAAGAAAGCAGGTTCAGCAAAGCCATGAGAGCAAGCCAGGAAGCATCCCCCTCCAAGAAACTGCATCAGCTCCTGCCTCCAGGATCCTGCTGACTTCCTTCAATGATACTACTATGATGTGGAAGTGAAAGCCAAATAAACCCTTTCCTCCCCAAGTTGCTTTTGGTCATGGCGTTTTATCACAGCAGTAGAAACCCTAAGACAGATACTAAGTCTTTCCACCCAACTTACCCTCAAGTGAGTTTCTGTTCATTCCAAAATGTCTTTATGAAGAGCCCTTCCCCCAACTTCTTGTGATTTCTGTCACTACCAAATTTATACTCCATTCATCCATCAGACAGTTCTTTTCGCTACACCACTTCTTTAAAGTAGCCCCTAGCTTCTCTTAGTCATAATATGCAAATTGTAGTGAAATGCATCATAGTGGGGAGGCAAGAGCATGAGCTGGAAGAGTAGGACCCAAGAGATGAGACACTAAAAAATGGTGACTATTTTTTTCCTATATATTTTTTAAATATTTTCTTCTTATATAACTTGCAACACAGAATAGAATAATGAAAAACTGACATTGTGTTATTGTTTTACTAAACACTTATTTGAGTTTTTGTTTGTTTCCCATCTTCTCACTGGCTTTTGGTCACCTCCGTCACACTAACAGATCAATATGACTTCATGCCATGTTTACTTAAGAGGTCAAGAATAATGACCAACCAATGTATGGAAGAATAACAAAATAACGTGAGTAAAACATGAAATCCAGATAAATGGAAGGAAGAAAGATGTTTATCTTCAGGCAAGTCACTTCAGGCTTGTCCTGTGAGCTTTTCCCATACTTGAGAGGAAAGTTTGCCATGGTGCCTCATAGTTCCTTCAGCTCTCTTCTTGACTGGGGCCCCAAATAAAATAATGCATTGACCCCTATCGACTTTTCAGATATATTCAAATTACAATACACTTAGGGAGTTTTCTAAAAGTGACAGAGCATAGTTCACAGAAAGCTAAATAATGTTGAGGAACGAACTCTCCCCGATGATCTGATTATAAAAACCGAGTGCTCCATCAGTGCCAAGATGGGCAGAAAGGACCCTGGCAAACAAAAGTGAAGACTCTGATCCATTAAGTACTTTAGGGTAACTCCAAGGGAACTAGAAAATGAATCTTCAAAACAAAGGGATAACAGTGTGATTCATGAGAATCAATGACCAATGTTCTTCATGTAAACCTAACTTAGAACCGATTATAAATACATGTTAGTTATGTTCATCAAATTAGACAGCACTTTGTAGGGGTGGAATCCCAAGCAACTTTAACCTCTCAACCTTTCCTTTCTAACACAGAAATTACTTTCTAAGAAAATAATAGCATGTGTCTCTCTGAGTTCAGAGCAATGACTGTGTCTTCCCAAGGATAAGGCTGTTAAGTCTCAAGCCTAACTTACAAAATAAGATTTCCTTACTAAATGAAAGGCTCCAGCAGGCCCTGCTCTTACTACTGCCTCCCAAACATTTCTTGAATCAAAAAAGAACAGGGTATTAGAAATTTTGGAAATAAAAAATTTGAGATCTATAGTCAGAACTTTTAAAATATTGGGTATTTGGAAAACTGGGAATAAAAAATTTTGAGACCTAGATCCAGAGGTTTTCATTATCTGTTGTTCAAATTTATACACTGGACGAGTGAAATCACTTACATATACAAAAGCTCCCAAGGGTCCTATTATGGGCCTTCCACTTAAATATTCAAATATTAAACACAGTGATAAAGCCAGCTTACATCTCTTAACAGCCAGTAAGTTTTCTGGGTTGCTCTTCAGTGTGAACTCTTTGATGTCGGATGAGGGATGAACTGCACTTAAAGCTCTTCCCACATTCGTTACATCTAAAAGGTCTCTCTGCAGTGTGAGTTCTCTGGTGCTGAATAAGAGCTGACGAATGAATGAAGGCTTTCCCGCACTCTCCGCACTTGTAGGGCTTCTTTCCAACATGAATTCTTTGATGCTTGGCAAAATTTGAGCTCCGGCTAAAGGTTTTCCCACACTCATGACATTCATAGGGCTTCTCCCCAGTGTGAATTCTCTGGTGCTGAACGAGGTGCGTGCTCTGACTGAAGGTTTTCCCACACTCGCTACACTCGTAGGGCTTTTCTCCCGTGTGAACTCTCTGGTGCTTCGTAAGGGAGGAGCAATGACTAAAGGCTTTCCCACACTCCTGACACTTATAGGGCTTCTCTCCAGTATGAGTTCTTTGATGTTTGATGAGCGCTGACGAATGAATGAAAGCTTTATCGCATTCGTTACATTCATAGGGCTTCACCCCAGTGTGAATCAGCTGATGCTGGGCGAGGTGTGTGCTCCGGTTAAAACCTTTCCCGCACTCGCTGCACTCGTAAGGTCTCTCTCCGCCGTGAACTCGCTGATGGACAGCGAGGGATGAGCTTTCCAGGAAGGTTTTCTTGCATTCACGGCACTCGAAGAGAATTCTGGTGTGAGTTCTCTGGTGCTTAGTTAGATTGGCTCTGTGGCTAAAGGACTTGGCACACTCACCGCAGGTGTAGGGTTTCTCCCCAGTGTGAACGCGCTGGTGTCGAATGAGGACGGAGTGGTACGTAAAGAGCTCACCACAGTCACCGCACTTATGAGGCTTTTTCTCCTTAGGAGCTCTCTGCTTTTTCATTAAGCCTGATTTCTGCTTCAGTCTTTCCCCAAGTGTCTGGAAGTCATAGGGCCCTTTGGGAACTCTCTCCTCGGCCATCAGGAGAGACTTATGACTGTCATTTTCCCAACAGATATCCTGTTCGCGATGCTTCTCCACAGGAAGTGAGTTCAGGCGAGTGAGCATTTGTCCTAAGTCCTTTTCCCGGCTCCCTTGCTGACGCTCTAGCCAGTGTTCTCCATCATGAGCCGTTTCCAAGGGGCAGTCAGAAACGGGATTTCCTGTCCGCTTTTCTGCTCTTGTAACCTGGCCTGATTCTTCTGTGGAAAACTCTTGCACCGAAGTTGAATCCTTGCTCTCAGGTCTAATTTCCACATCTGAAAAGACATTGCAAATGCAAATGTTCTGTGTTTTCTGGGCTTAACAAAAACACAGTTCTATAACAGGTAAGAATTAATGAAGATGAGAGAATGCTTGTGAGGAATTAGTAGAGCTGATCTCTTATTGAATGGTTTTCGAAAAAGAAGGAAACTGAAGGAAATAAACACGAAATTAATAGACTTTATCCATGAGAATTAGATGGGGGAAAGATGATCAGAAACATAAGAGGGAAAATGATGAAAAATGCGTCCGTAAGGAGCAGGCAATGAGTACATTAGATATGGAGAGTAAAAACCACATGTTATAGAATACCTCCTATCACAGTATCTAGGAAACCACATACAAAGATATGTATAGCTAAATATATATCCATTTAATAATGTGTAGCAAAATAGTTTAATACTATGCTATCATAAACACTATTCAGTAGAATGATTAGAACAGTGTGGTACTGGACCATACTGACAAATGAGCCTAGAAAAAAATCCAAACATATATAAGGGAACTGGGTGTTGCGGAATGTTCCTTTACACTGTGTGAAGATGTGTTGTAGCACACGACGCCTGTACAGTTAGTGAACCGGACAAGGGGCTGGAGATTTGAGACACACAAACACACACAGAGAGACAGGGATACAGGTCATCCTTGAAACAGGAATGCCCCAAGAATGCCCCCTTTATTGTGTCCAGGGGCTGCTTATATAGGGATAGCCACGCCCCAGCCAAACGCACCAGAAACCATTCCCCTGCCATCAGGAACTCCTGAGGGTAACGTGCTCAGAGCAGCTGTAGGCACTCAGATCAGCGAAAAACAAGTTGTTTACAAGAAATTCAGAATCTGGGGGTTCAGAGCTCCCAACAATGTGCCACGGTGATTGGTTTAATAACGAGCGGAATGGCCAGTAGTTAGGCGAGAGAATAGGTAGGATTTCCTGGGAGAGAGAGGAATGCTGGGATGAATCTCGGCCCGAGAGAGAGGCCAGCAGGACACTGAAGAAGCTGATGTCTGGTACAGCAGGGAAGTGACAGAGCCACATGGCAGAATGTCGATTAATAAGACAGGTTAATTTAAGTCATAAGCATTAACTGGGTACAAGCCTAAGCTAAGGCCAAGCTTTCATAATTAATAATAAGTCTCCATGTCATTATTTGTGAGCTGGTGGCTCAAAGGAACGTCCGACTGCAGCCGGGTTTACCAAAAGGTAGCATTACAAATCGCTGATCAATGATGCTGGGTTATAGGCTGTGAGCATGAAAAAGATCCATTTCACATCATTTACAAAAATAAATACCTGCACAACAAAACTTGATTATTTTGTAATAAAATTCAGATCATCTTTCTGACACTGGTACGACAAAACAAGCCACGAAAGCAAACTTAAAATTCGTGAGGGCTTAGCCAGGTGTGGTGGCACGCCTTTAATCCCAGCACTCAGGGAGGCAGAGGCAGGCGGATCTCTGTGAGTCCAAGGCCAGCCTGGTCTACAATGTGAGTTCTAAGACAGCCAGAACTATGACACATAGAAACCCTGCCTATAAAACAAAAAATTAGTAAATGCTGGGGCTGGAGAGGACTCAGTGGTTAAGAGCACTTGCTGCTGTGGTAGAAGACCCAGGTTCGGTTCCCAACACCCACAGGAGGCTCCTAACATGCTATAACTCTAGTACGAGGGGATCCAACACTCTAGCCAGGCCCACACTCATACACATAAAGTAAAAATAAATGTCTTAAAAAATTATCTTTAATTATGTATGCGTCTTTATATGTGGGCGTGTATGTGTGAGTTGGATGCCCACAGTGGTAAGAGTCTTTTGATCCCCTGGAGCTGGAATTATAGGCGGTTGCAAGCTGCCTGATGGGTGCTGAGAATCCTGCCCAGGTCCTCAACAAGAGCAGTACCTACTTCAGGTGTGAGCCATCATTCTAGCCCCTAAGATGATGCTGGCCTAGGCTCCACAAGGCTTTGGGCTCCAACCACATAACTGAAAAATAGAAATCAGCAAATCTGACCTTAAAATTTAGAAGTTTAATATCCTAAATTTGGGGCTTATTAAGAAGGCCCCAAAGTGGAAGAATCAATTCCTCCTCATTTGTAACACTTATGCTACCATATATTAGAATCTAAAATATACAAAGAGCTGCAACAAATGAAGCTTGAATAGGCAAGAATCTCAAATGCTCATGAAGCTCTTATTTAGTCCTCAGAGAAATGCAAATAAAAAATACGAAGTGGCATTATATATATGTATATATGTATATATACATATATATGATGGACAAGAGCTACTAAGTCAACTGTGGATAAGATGGGGAAGGACCTTAACAAATCTAATAACACTAGCAGGTGATGCAAAGACCCACATATCTCCTTCCAGTCATCTACTTTAACGTCAGCTCTCAAGAGGAACACGAGGAATAACGGCCATGCAACTCTGCAAGGGCCAAAGGGAGAAACTAACTGCCCAGTTTATTCACACGAAGCACCTACACCAAACTATTTAAAAGAAATATATACAACTCATGACATACTAATATAGATTGTTAACAAAATGAAATGCTGGAGCTTCCAAATAGATTACAGAAGGAAAATTGTAAAAATATACACATTTTAATGTTCATGCGTGTGTGCATATATATGCTTGTACATGCAAATACAAGAAGAGTCACACCAACTTCAAGACAAAATGGTTACTTCTAGAAAATGAGACAATGAGAGGACTTTATCTGAATCTCTAAAATTTTTATTTCTTAAAAAGCAAAAGACATCACATAGCCATAGGAATGGCTAGAGTAAATACAGATAATATTAAGTGTTGGAAGTGCATGGAAAAACTAGACGTTGTAAGTTCTTTCAATGGAAATATAACTGGAAATATTTTTGTAAACCCTCTTTGGCAATAGCTATATCACACACACACACACACACACACACACACACACACACCAAAACACATATATGTGTTCATAAAAAGACATGTGAAAGAATGTATACAGGAGCGGTATTCATGCAACCAAAACTGCACACTATCCAAATAGCTGTCTTTAGAAGAATGGGCAAACTGGGACACTGCAACAATAAAAGGCTACACAGCACTGAGAACGAACTAATCTCAGCAACATGGATGGATCTCACTGTGAAAGCTCAGAGAAGGAAGCCCATCTCAAAAGAATATACAGTGATTGCATTTAAATAAGGCCCCACAATAATCAAAACTAACTATGGTGTTACACATGGGGATAAGGCTACCCGTGGGAGAGCGGTGACTGCACATTGGGCACAGGGTGCTTCTTGGATTAGTGCTTTCGTGGTCTAGGCAGTACTTACATGAATGTGTTCAACTTGTAAAAATTCACATAGACATTATAATGCTTTTATGTATTTTACTGTTGCAATAAAAAGGAAAGAGGGAGTGGAAAGTGAAAACAGTTTTAATTTTGGTGGTGGCTGTATTATTTTATTTTGACTTACATATTTAAAAGCTACAAACTTTAAAACATTTGAAAATCAAGGTGCGTCGGCCTCTCTAATACTCACTCTCAAGCTCGGCAAAGTGCTATTCCGTCGCTCTTCTGAGGGACTGAAGCGCCCCGTGGGGCTCACCTACCTGAGTGACTGCCTTTGGGAGGTTTTTTCTCAAGCTTCAATCGTTCTTTTCCATCATCCAAATTATAGTTATCAGGCTTGGAAACGGGAAGCCCTGTTTATTAAAAAGAAAAGGAGAGGAAGAGAATAAAGTGAATGAAATACGGTGGGTACGAAGATCTCTGCTGGAATTTAGTTCCAAGCCTTCGTCTGGACAAGACGCCGCATCTGGAGTGAGGGAGGAAGGACCTCTCAACGGGGCTTCGAGTATCTGCAAGAGTCTAAGACTGGTGCAAAGTTAAACTGCATTTATAAAGACAAGTTTGTCTGTGGTAAAGGAAAAAAAAGTCTCTCAATTTCCTGATTGTTTGTGGGGGTCACAGGTAACACTGCAGACTAATCTTCACTTCAGAAAAGAATATGTATAATATGGGACTTTAGCAGCACCCCAAAATTGTGGCTGTTGAACTAGAGTTTTTATCTTTTAATAGTTTTTTTTCTTTTGACATTAGGGTTTGACATTGGCCACCACAGCCTGTAATTCAAAATGGGCCACGAGCACCGCCTCTTTGCCCTGTGCTGTTTATCTGATGGATATATGCCCGTTAGTTGGATTTTCAAAATAAAAGTATATCTTTGCTCAGCTCTCTAACTGGAAGAATAACCTAACCTTCCCCCGCCCCCAGCTGCTGATGCCACCTCGGCCACATAGGGGTGTCCTAAATTAATAGATACAACGGCAAAGGCAAGCTAGTTGACTTTAAGCAAACAAACAAATCAAATTCCACTGAATCCTTTGTTTCCCTAAGTTCCTCCCAGTGAAGCCAGCGTACGTGAGGCTGCCACTTGAATCTTGATAAATAAGAAGCCCAAACATCTCACCAAGGACCTAGGACAGGAAGGGGTGGGGCAGAGCTCAGTGGCAGTGCTTGCTCAGCCTACGCAAGGCTCAGATTCAATCCTCAGCCTCCAGCAAAACAAAGCACGTTCTTCCTCTATGCCCAAAAAAAATACTTTATGACTCCTAAATGAAAGCAGGAGGCTAACAAAAGCATTTCATTTTCACAATGTCATGTCAGCCCCATGAGCGGCTTTCAGAGCCACGGGAAGAAGCTGTTCTTACAAAGCGAGACCAGGTTCCTGTAGTTCTCCAGCATCACGTCCCTGTGGGCAGGATCCAGTTTCCCCCACTCCTCTGGTGTAAAGTCCATGGCCACATCCTTGAATGTCACGGTTTCCTAAGACACAAACAGACTTTGCTCATCGCCTTGCGGTAGATACCTGTGATGGCTCTCTTTGCTTGTCAGCTTGACTACATCTGGAGTTAACTGTAAACCCGAGCAGCTGGGCACACCTGTCAGGGATTCTTCCTTGACTGGATCATGTGATGTAGGAAGCACCACCTTAAGTCCAGATCTCTTCAGGTCAGAAGATCCGCCCTAAATCTGGACCACGCTTTCTCCTGGCAGCTGATCTAAGAACAAGGGAGAAGGGAGCTTTTGCTTCTCGCCTGCTTGTCCTCATTCTCACTGACAAGTTCTACGGCCTGCTGCTGAGACTCTCCTTCACTGGCAGTGGAGCCCACTTCTTTGGGATCCTGACATCTACTGAAGACCAGCTGAGACTACTGGATTCTTGGACTTTCTGTCAGGAGGAAGCCATTGTTGGACTAGCTGGACCAGTCTGTAAGCCACGCTAACAAATCCCATATATATATATATATTTACTCTATCAGTTCTGTTCTTCTAGAGAATGCTGACTAAACAGAGCCCCTTCCTTTCATTCTGTTCCTGATGGACATAGTGCAGATGGACAAGATATACTCATTGAGACAAGTGAGGAGCTTTCTAAGGGTGCTTAGATCCCAAACAGTCTGTGCACTTTCACTAAATACCAGGCACACCGTGAGACTCAGCAGAAACAAGACGGTTGTACCACTGGGAAACTACCATTTTCCTGTCAAAAATAGGCTATAAGCACTGAGGAAAAAAGGATTATCTGCACCCTTCCCCTATGTATTTAATAAACACAAAACATGGCATAATCTTCCGAAGAATTACAATACAGAGGTTGCAAACAGAGAGGTCAGAGAATGAAAAAAAAAAAAACTGGAAGGGAACAGCAAATCCAGCTAAATTTGCAATTAATTCAAGATAAAGGACATTCAATTAGGAAATGTGATAAACTGATTAAGGTTACAGATGTAATTCAAAAGTAGTTATAAAAATGTCATAAGATTACATCTCAGTGACATTACAAAAAAAAAAAAAGGGAGAGTGATGGCTACATGGTATTGAGCGTGCCCCTTGAAGCAAAGCCACAGGGAATGGGAACAACATTCAGGGTTTGCTGAAACGAATGCGTAACAAATGCTTAATTGGACATAAGGCACCTTCTATTAAAACATCCATGAAGCATTTGCAAACACCAACAAAGTAGATTTTAGTAAATTCCCAAATAGGAATAAAGCTATGCCTGATGAAAATTGTAAAACTCCACTGGAACATAAAGAATAAAGAAACAAAATGCAAAGTCCAATGCTAAATGGCTAGAAACTCTGGGGATGTGCAGCACTCCTGAAATGTCTTAGATTTTAAACATGTTTCCTGTGGTTTTGAAATATGTAAATACATGAGAAGAGCACGCAAATCATAATAAAGAACACGAACAAACTCAGAAAGAGAATGAAAAGACAGAAGCAGAACTTTTATATACAGAAAAACAAGACAGCTGGGAAATCTGGGAAAGGCCAACGTTGATGTCTCAATTCCAGAAACGAGATCAATGCAGAGTGAAATGTTGACTTCTGGAGCTTGGATGAACCGGAGATGAGGGATTTCCATGGTACTTGTTGTTTGTAACCTTTTCTATGTCTAGGTTTTTCTCAAAGTAAAGTTTTCAAAAATAATCCGAGATTTTAGAAATAAAGGAATCATGTTTGAAAAGGAAATAACAGGCAAACCCAACCCCCCAAACAGCCACAAAATAGAAAAGACTTCATTAAAAAAAAAAAAAGTGACCTTGATCCCAGAATCTAGGTACACAGAGCTCAACACTCAGTGGAAATTAACCGCTCGTCAGTTCAATGGAAAAACAAAACAAAACAAAGCAACAGCAAAAATGAAAACGGTTATATGTAAGACAGGAAAAGCTCAGCAGGAAAAACAGCACTGCGTACTGACTGTGGGAGCAGAATTCCTTATAAAAGGATCTTGCTAAAAGCTATTAATATTGTTAAGAGCAGTAAATCCCATTTACAGAGTAGGTTAACCAGAACACCGCACGGGTGGAGACAGGGAGGGAAATGGAGGAAATGCAGTGTACCCCGAGTCCTCTGGACAGTACTCTAAACTCAGCAAAATACAGAAAAACACCACACACACAGATTCTCTGTAGAAAGAGGTGAGGGGCTGATTTGGGGAGGAGAGTTATCATACGTATATATTTCTATATTCTGTGCTGCTTATTAAGCTAAAACTAATATACATATTTTCTAAACCTAGTAAGAAAAGATTAAAAAAACTTAACCAACTCAGATCTGAACACAAAAGTTCCAATATTAGCATTAAATAAAATCTAGTAAAATTAAAAAAAAGAAAGTCTTTAAAAATATCCATAAAAGACAATCCACCATGATGATATAACAGTCTTTAATCTAGTATCAAGATAACGAAATGTACCACCTGTCCACCCTTCTTTTCCTATCTGTCTCTGTGCTGAGCCACTCAACCCTGTGGCGAGCGGGTAGAACTGATCTGTTGGAGTCAGGGCTGGAATGTGTCTACTTATGTATGCACTGGTATACTCCACAATTTCTTCTGGCCAAGTCCAGCAATGGTGTAGGAAAGACCTTATACACTGCTAGAAGTCATCCCAGCACCAGGGGAACAGCTAGCCTTCAACCTTGAAGATGCAAGCCTACGCCTGTTTGATGAGAGCACCAGAACAAAAGCCTGTTTAAGAGCAAACCTCGTAGAGTTTTGGAAAAGGTTAACAAAATGGACAAGCTGGCTCTCCGTGTTATGGCCTAAATCCTTTACTTAACTTGTGTTGGTCAATAAAGACCTCTCTTTGCACAAGCCAGTTTAAGATGTCAGCCTCCACTGAAGTCTCTTGGGTTGGTAAAGCCTGCGAGACTCACAGAGCAGTCGAGAAAAGTACAAAAAAAGGGCCACAAGTCATTTCTACAGCACTAACATCCAGCAGAGGCTGACGGGAATCTCTGGGCTGCAGAACAATGCAAAATGAACACGGTAATCAGTGTAACCACCACCCACTGTGTATCCCATAGTTCTCCCTTGACACACTTGCTCTTTGTGGGAGGGACAAAATAATAATAGGAAACGGGAGACCTACTCCTTCAAAGCGGGAGGAAACTAGCCCTAATGCTCCAGATTCGTCCCCAGGGAGGACCGCTTCCCATCCCTGAGCTTGGAAGTCTTCCGAGCCTTTCTTCTTTCAGTATCAGTTTCAACCGAGTACATATTATTAGTCTAATCACTTCCGCATTTAAGATGTTTCCCAAGTTCCCACTTACCGCCACAGGTGTGCTGTTCCCCATAGAGAAATGTACGTACTGTACCCTTAAAATAGCTTTCCACATGACCAAATACAGAAATGAGCATAGCGGGGAAGCGGGGAGAAATGTGGCCCACCTGCCTTAGAGAGACAATGGAGATGGAGAAGGAGAAGAGGTACCTAGGAGTAAGCAGAAAGTGTTTCCTACAGAGCCCATTAGTCTCTTGGAATTAGAACTCAGGTCTCTAGATGGGCTCTGTGGACAAAGAAATCCCACATCAAAAGGGGAGTGCATCGGTGCTCTGAGACACAAGATGGAGCTGGCTCTTAACCCGTGGAGACTCACCTGGGACTTGGCTGTGAGTCTCAGAGCGGCCACTTCTCCTTCCGCACTCTTCTCGTGGGAAAGGAGGGAGTCCTGGGAAGACAGAGCTAAGGGCAAGCAGGCAGCAGTGACAGAGACCCATCTCGCTACTCGGACTACAATCTAAGATCCCCTTCACCACACCACGTGCCCTTCCTGCTAACAAAGACTGCAGGGACTCCAAACCAAACTGCTACTTTGCAGTACAGTGGGGTATGCCCAGGGACTTGGCTTCTCTGGGCTTAAATCCAGTTGCTCTATACATCCCAGAAACCAGACCTCTCCGGACTACAAACTAGAATAAGTAAGTTCCCATCATACTCTACTTAAAATCTTCGAAGCAGACTCAATGCCTTTTATTTTTTTTTTAAAAATTCTCTTAAAGCTTACTTAAGATGGAGACTGCTAAATCTCACTTCTAAATTATGATTGGTTGAGTTTGAGGTGACGTCTCGAAATCTGACAAGCACCCTTGAAGGGAATTCTGGCACAGAGGTCATAGACTAAAGTTCAAGATACACTGGTCTAGTAGTGTTGATGTCAGCCCCACACTTCTGTGCCTGTCAAACACATTCTGAGTTATCTCTGAGACCGGACGGTTAACTGTGTGGATAAAGTGGGATAATAGGTGTGGAAAATATTTTTGTCAATCACAAAGCTGAATTTTTGTATCCATGATGGAAAGCAGGATGGGACAACAATTTCGAAGAACTTGTGCCTAAAGTTCGACAATGTCCCCACTGCCTCCGGTGCATTCCGTTGTGCACCCATTAAGTGGATGGGGACTGACCCAAACAACTGCTGCAGCAGCTTCTCAGAGCCCACTAATCCTCAAGACAGTGCTGACAAGTCGCCACCTAACTCGAGGCAAAGGTTGGCTCTCCCTTCAAAGGGAAGAATTCAACTTTCTTTTTTCCACTGTGCAGAACCAACCCATGGGCAACTCTACCTCTTTTCTGGGGCACTTCAACCAAGTCCATCTCCACAGTCACCACCTCTTCAATGTCCCCAAGCTTCCACTCGTCTCCGGTTCGCACAATTAGGCATCAACGGAGCCTCGAAGAGCTTCTTCCCTCTGGGGCTCTGCGGAAAGCGTCACTCGGATCAAGTTGGGATCTGGAAACCAGGGAAAGCATCCTGAATAGGGTTCTCGCATGCCTGTCCCTGGCGCCTGGAGCTGTTCTTAGGGGACCAAGCACCTGAGAGATGGCACAGGGTATAGACAACCGCGCCTCGTGCCCAGCACCTCCCGCTGCTCCAGTCTGCACCCAGGATCTGTAGGGAGCGATCTCGGCGGCGCGTGGGGCGGGGAGGGGACAAAGCTCAAGAACTATGAAGTCTAGTTCCATCTGGTGTGGAACCACCACTGGACCACCGCCGAGGCAAACGGAGGACCGTAGCACCCCACTAGGCAACTCACCTCCCATCCCGGGCCTAACAAAAGGCTACGAACTTCTCGGGTTAGCTCCGAGTCGCGCATGCGTGACATTCTGCGGGGAAAGGCCAGAAACTACGACTCCCAGAAGCTCCGGCGCGCAGTCAGACCCCTTATTTCTTGACAGGTGGGACCACGCGTGGCTCAGCGGCAAGGCGGGATTCCTCTCTCTCGCGAGAGAAAAGGGTGCATCGTCTGCGGTTAGCTTACACAGTTACCCGAAAGTGGGACCTGGGAAACGCGGGCTCGGTGGCTGTCTTTGCGCCTTGTCTGCACAGTTACCTCTGTGCAGCTTCAGCCCAAATTTCTTTTCTGTAGGCATGAGTATGTGGCTTTTAACCATGGTTTTGCCTTCCGCAAACTCATCCTTTGTCTTCAAACTATATAAAAGCTCTCAGATCAGGATCCTGGTTGTACACTCATTCATTCCCATGGTCATGTATCCAGAGACTATTTGCAATCCTAAAAACTCATATGAGCAGGATTCAAAATGTGAGCCAGTTTCCACACACTTGAGCAGTGAGTTCTTTGCAAGAAAAAAAAAAAGTTCAGCATTTATTAAAAAAAAAAGTTGGCTTCTCAAGGGACCATGGTTAAGTCACTCCGGTTGTGGAAGTAGCCTACCCACTTCCAATTCACCATGGCTAAACAGCCCCACCTCAGTGGGCGCATTTCCTGCCAATGCATCATTCGCATCTGCCAGAATCAATATAACCAACTATTGGTTCTCACCATCTAATCACCAGATCCTATTGTTATATTTTACCTCCCAATTTGTTCATTTCTATTTTTGCTATGGCCTCTATCCTCTTCCCCACTTCCTTTCTTGTACCTCCACTCCCTTCCTCCTCCACCTCTTCTCTAAGACCATCACGATCCCTTCTGATGAAGACATCCATTTCCTCCCCTTCATGCCCAGTGGCCTTCTGCTTGAAGTCCCTTTGTGCTCTAGAAGCCTTAGACCCAGACTCTGTCTTTCCATTGGGAGAAGCCCTCTCCTTACTGAGCGAGGAACTCAGAGGGAGGCAATGGCCCTTCCTAATCTCCTAATCTGTCTCCTTTTTACTTCTGATCTATATAACTGCAAAACCCCCAACCCCTCTTTCTCTGAAAAAAAAAAAAATCCCAAGCCCTGACTTTTCTCCTAGAATTTATCCTTTTTTCCCCACTACCTCACCTGGGGTGATTGTCAACAACTCCTTAGGACTCTGTTGACTTCAGTGGACCTCAAACAAGGAGCAGAAGCAAAGAAGGCCTTTTGTCCTTGGCTGCTGGTACTAATGGGAGCTGAGAGGCTGCACAGTTTTGAAGAAGCCTCCCCATCCAAATGCCCTGATTGGGACCCTAATATGTGTAGGGTAAAAGGGCTAGGGAAAGAACAACCTGGCCCCCGACTTGACCCCAAGACCAGGAACAAGTCAACGAATACCACCAATCCCTGAGCTTGCCCCAGAAACAGACCACAAAAATTCACCAATCCCAAGCCACCCTTGGAAACTCTGCCACCTCCCCTCCCCATATAAACCCTGTATTCTGTTCAGTTTTCTGCTGCTTCTCATGATAGCAGAGGCAGCCCCCCTCCTGGATTGTTCCCTCCCAATAAATCTCTTGAGTGAAGTTTGTTGTGTGGGACACTCTCGCTGGAGCATCAGCTGTAATGCCTTTACCAGGGCAGCATAGAGCTGTAACTCTTCCGTAGGTGCAGAGCTGTAATGCTTACAGTGACTTTGTGGTATTGCTTGGCTCCCGACTGCCAGGGATACCTTCCCATCCGAGATGCAACACTTACAATATGTCCACCAGTTCTCAAGACTTGATCCCTTTTTGCTGCTATCTTATGTCTGGAATTTGGGGTTCAGATCAAACACCCACTAATTTGTCTAAGACAACTGAGATTCTCCGTGGACTGGGGGAATCTCCTGGGGGTGTTTCTCCAGTGATTACAGGAAGGCTTTCAAATTAACATGACTTTGCACCCAATGACTCTAGAGAACCACAGCGTATTAAATTTGGCTTTTGTAACTCAGTCTGCTCCTGATACCTGCAGAGGGCTACAAATGCTAGAGGGTATAGCTGAAATGAATACCTACTAGCTCACAGAGGTGGCCCAAAGGGTTTTCTGTAACTGAGATACTGAGAAGCAAAAACAAGTAGACATGACCACTGATCAAGTCACACATAGACAGAAAAAAATCATGATGGCTGCATTCCAGTCAGCTCACCCTGAGCCCCCAACTGATCTTACTTAGAGAAGAGACCCACCCCAAAACAAAAAGTGGGGAAAATGGGGAACCCTGCACTGGAAAGGGATCCATGTGCCTGTAGTAAGGAAAAAGGACAATGGAGGAACCAATGTCCGAGCCATGCCAAACCCAAGAAAGCACTGGCCTTCCTGAACACAAGGGAGCTGGATGAGGGAACCAGGGCTCTGTTCTCTTAGGCCTCCAGAGCCATTGGTTGAAGCATCAGTAGGTGGTTCTACAGTTAAGTTCTTGGTAGATACCGGGGAAGAGGCTTCTGTTTTTAAGAACTCTCACGGGGCCATTTACAAATAAAAAGAAGGTGGTTCAGGAAACCACTGGCACAGTTAGGAACTACCACCTTACACATGAAAGGACACATAGCTTGGGCCACAAACGAGAGACACTTCTTTGTAGTGGTCCCAGGTGGTCCCTTTCCGCTTCTGGGTAGAGATTTTCTTTTAATCTATGATGTATATAACATTCCTTCCGTGAATGCTTGCATACCAGAAGAGGGCACCAGATCTTACTATAGATGGCTAGTAGCCACCATGTGGTTGCTGGGAATTGAACTCAGGACCTCTGGAAGAGCAGTCAGTGCTCTTAACCTATGAGCCATCTCTCCAGCCTGAGATTTAAAAAAAAAAAAACTAAGTAGAACCATCACCTTTACTCTCCAGGAGACTAGAATTTCCTTTGCACCTACCTACCAGCTTAACTGCCCCTCTGTCTGAAGAATATCTCCTACTCCTTCCAGACTCCGCAGCAGAGGCAAACACAGATCCTGGAAGCCTGCTCTGGAACCTGCAACTACAGTTTCCTGAGACAAATCCTCTGGGCTTGGTGGCACACCACCCACCCTTTGTCGTAAGTCTTTTGGCTACAATTACACCCGAAAGCATCCTGCAATACTTCGTGAACCAAAAGGCCAGACCAGGAACTGCTCTTCATATCAGAAGGCTGTTGGAAACAAACATCCTTCCCCATGCCAGTCAACCTGAAATATGCCTTTCCTGGTCCTTAAAGCTGGGACCTCCCAGTTCAGGATCTCCGGGAGGTTAGTAAACAGACAGAGACCATTCATCCTACTATTCCAAACCCATAAACTTTGCTCAGTCTCCTCCCACCAGATCACCAGGTCTCTACAGGTCTGGACATTAAGGATATTTTGTTTTCCATTTTCCTGGTGCTGGTGAACTAGCCCATGTTTGCATTTGAACATATCCAATGTCCTGTGAGATAAGTCAGCTAACCTGACGCAACTACCCAAAGGGTTTAAAACTTCCCCTGTGCTCCTTGGGGGAAATGTTTCAGAAAGACTTGATAGGGTGCAGGGTGTACCACCCTGACTCCACTCTCTCCAGTATGCAGAAGATTCCTTTCTGGTAGCGACCAACACAACCACCTGTTTGAGAGAAACCTGCTCCAGCTGCTCTAGACATTAGGCTACTGAGTCTCTGTGAAGAATGCCCAGCTTCGCCAGAAGTTTCTTATCTGGGGCACAAGCTTGTGCAAGGTAGACAGTCAGTCAGTGCCATCCGGAAGGAAGCCTACATCCCAAACTAACTGGCAGGTGTAGGAATTTCTGGAGTCAGCAGGATCCGACTCTGGATTCCAGAGTCTGTCCAAATAGCCAGCCTCTTTGTTCTGTCACGGGAGACTAGTCTTTAAACTGGACAGAGGCAGGCAGAGGAGCTGTGTTTTTAAGAGATAAAGCAGATCCTAGCCCTAGCCCCAGGGTTCATTCTATGAGATGTCTCCAAACTGTCTCACCTTTTCATTCATGAGACTCGAGGGCTCACAAAGGGTGTCAGCTCAGATCCTGGGACCTTGATGGAGGCTCATAGCACATCTGTCTAAGTGTTTGGATCTGGAGGCTTTAGATTGACCATTCTATTTGAAAACCATAGATGAAATCAGTGCACTAGTAAGGGAAGCTAAAGAGCTCACTTTAGGCTAGGGTCTGCAAGTGACAGTCCCTCACAATGTGGAGACCCTCCCACAGGGGGCAAATGGACAAGGGATGTTGTCTTACCTTGCAGAGCACACAACACCTTATCTTCTATGCCCTCTTGGTTAGATATCTCAATTGGATAAGTCTCTAGTTGCTTTCCCACCTTCCCTGTCTAACAGGAGCCTAAATCCTCTGCAACTGCAGACCCATGTTTAGCAACTCCTGGGACTATGGTAACTAACTCCACACCTACTTGGATTCCTGCAGTGTCTGACCACTAAATTACATCCAATCTGAAATGGCTCAATACTGCTGCATCTGTTTAAAGGCCTGACCGTCTTACTCTGTCAGGGAACGAAGACCCCCTACAGCTGTGATCTCCAACTGCTCTGCCTGTCTGCATCCAGAAACCATCATTATTCATTCTGGATTAGAAGGGACCAGTTTTTTATTCCCTTTCAGGCAACCCTACTGGAGGCATAGGAGGGCCACTCCATTCTTCTTCTCAGTATTGGTAGGG